CAGTGAGGGTGACAGAGCACTGGAACAGACTCACAGCCCAGAGAGGTTGTGGAGTCTCCTTCTCTGGAGACATTCAAAACCCGCCTGGACGCCTTCCTGTGCAACCTCATCTAGGTGTTCCTGCTCCGGCAGGGAGATTGGACTAGATGATCTTTTGAGGTCCCTTCCAATCCCTAACGTTCTGTGATTCTGTGAAATGAAATCTTCCCTTCCTGTCCTGTTCCAGCTAATTGTCTGGGGATATGTGTTTCTAAGGAACAGGTCAGGCTGTTAGTGGTGTTAATACAGAAGCCAGATAACCTATTAAGAAAAGAAGGGTAGGTGGATCTTTATTGCATTTACAGTGCCAAGGGAAAGAAACATCAAGATGCTTTGTCCTATCTGATTTGGATCCTTTCTTTTAAATCTTTTAATATTCGTAGAAGTCTGACTAGTAACAAATGAATATATAGATCTAGTATCATAACTCTGCCCCCAGCCTAGTTTTGGATTATCCAGCTTGCTAATGCGTGAGTTTAAATAACTTTTGGAACGTGCTGGTAGGGGCAGTGTACTGGTGGTTCTTCCTGTGGTGTTTTCCCACTGTGAAGATGATGCAGTTCAGGACCCAGCTTTAAGCTGGGAGATGTAAAAGCCAGATATCGTGTAATAAATTGTTTTGAAGTAACTGTTCAGTCCAACAAATAGGTTGCAAATCAACACATTTGTCAAGTGCTTTCCTGTTACAGATGATAATCAACTGTTTTGCGGTTAATGTAAGACTGGCAAGTCTTCCTTGTGTCTGGCACTTGCCACACACCTAACTGATCCTCAGTCTTAGTTTTCATGTAAATATGGTTTATATCTTTGAAAATTAGTTTAGGCGTCTGTATCTGGAGCCAGCAGAGACCCCAATATCATAGGGTTGTGGAGGAGTACATTGCTGCTTTTCTCTGACTCAAGGCAAGGAAGGTTCTACAGAGCAGCAGTAATTCTAAGTTTGGCTATTTCTCTTCTTGTTTTCATGAATGCCTGTAAACACAGTTGACTGTGTTTCAGCAAACTGAGTGTCAGCAATAAGGAAGGGTGAATAAAACCGGGTGAATGGAGTTCACTACTAGCTATATTTAGTATCTTGCAAAGGTGTTATGCTCATTTGCAGATATTTTTCAAACCAAAGCATTGAAGTGTTTAACCAAAACTTGTGATGTGGATTTACTGGTGCTTGGAGCTGCACTGTTGGCCAGATTTTCTAGAGAGAAAGAGAAAAGATGGGTGTATGAGAAGATTGGGATGCTGTCAATCCAACCTTACCAGATTTCATTTGACTGAATCCATTCAATCCCAGATAAGTGTTCCTTCATTGTGCAATAGCAGCACTCCTTGCACATGCTGCCCAATGTCTCATTTGTCTTCTGAGTTCAGACTTTGTTATGGTAAGCACCATGATTTGTTAGAACTCCGCCAGTGGAAATGTTTTAGAGCACCAGTCTGAGTAGAAATACATTTGCAAGGCTTTCCTTCCTCTTCTCCACTCATCCCATGTACCTGATTGGTTTCTTGAGAAACATAAAATGCAGAGTTGACATGCTGTCCTAAAGCTTGGGACTGATCATGCTTTCAGATTTTCCAAATAAGTCACGCAAGTCTTTTTCCAGCTCTGTTTTGTGTTGTATCTAGTGATGCAAGAACTGCCTTGGAGAGGGAGTCCTGGGCTTTGGGATTCCTCTTTTGGGGTATTTCAGCTTTGACATAGTTGCCTTTGCAAGTTCTACAGGCACTGCCACTCTATTGCATCACTGTTGTCCTCCTTCAGGTCTGAGTGTTTATAGTAGCAGCAGCTGCACTGTTGGGCAGGAAGGAAAGCTTCCTTTTATGTGGGTATTCCTGATTTTTGTGTGGCTGCTGGTGCTGGGCTGAGGTTTTTTTTTCTTTTACCCTTGTGGTATAATATTCACCCTGAGAGGGGAAACATCTTGAATACAGGACGTTGTGTGTCACGGGTTTTGAGCGCAGTGTGCTTTCAGGTTCATCTGTGCCAATAAGCCTGATACTGTCTGCCCTTTAAGAAGCTCTCTCCTCTCTCAATGTTGCACACATTGCTACTGTTTGGACTTTTAAATTGCAAAGGCACTCAAAGGCCTCAGTGAACTCCAGCTCTATGTAACTAAGAGATGCTGCTTGCACCTGTGATAAATTGCAGGCAGCCCCAAAGGCTTACAGTCTGAAAGGCAGCAGCAGGGTGAGCAACTTGGGTCTGGGATGTAAAGAGGCAAGGCTGCAAGTTTGCTGAGATGATGACAGCTGCCCAGTTACTTTCCTTCAGGATTGCCTCACTGACCTTAAGGTTTGTAAACTGAGTGTTTATCTTGTCCACGTTTTCTCCTACTCTGCGTTGAAGAAGGTAGGCTGTAGGCAGGGGTTGGCTGACGTCCTGAAAAAAGGCAGCTGAAAGGGCTACTGCAGTCTGAGGGGAGGAGACTGGAAGGAGCTGAAGAAGCCAGGGCTTAAATTGAGAATTGTTTTCATGGAAGGGACAAAAATGAGAGATTTCATGTTGCAAAGAAGAAAGGCATAACATTTAGATATGCCCTAGTGTGTGATTTAAGCGTAACTTTGGGTAGTGGGTACTGGATGCCTCTTTGTGAGAGAAAATATATCTCAGAAGTGTTCACGTAGCCTTGCTGAGTTTCATCTGGCCTCTGAGTGTACACAAGGGCATGTAAGGTCAAGTTTAAAGAGAAATAAAACGCAAACTGAAATACAGACTTGCCAGTCATCAGAATAAAGTGTTTATTAATGTTTATCACATGGTAGTGCCTAAGATACCTGTTTCTTCTTCAGGTAAAGTGGAGAATAACTATGCCAATGAGTTTTGGTTTTCATTTGTAGACACAAACTTGTACCAAGTAAGACCTGAATTCAGTTCTAAATTCTAGAAACACCACTAAGTGAGCTTTCGGATACATTTCTTTCTTTCTAAGTAGTGATTTTACTAAATAGAACACTTTCTTTATTCTCCTTCTGGTTCTGTTTTCAGGGCAAGGCATTTCAGAGAGAGCATTAAATTTATCCATGAGTGCCGGCTTACAGGTGAAGGCTGCCTAGTTCATTGGTACGTATACCACTTGCTAAAAGTACCTCTTAAGAGTTCCTCTACCTTGATTTGTTCATAATTTGAATGATAGGTTGGTGTTCATCTCCATTTTGTAGCAATGAAATGGCCCCTTTATTTGAGGAGCCCTAGAAAATTTGCAAATGCTATTAAAGCCTCATGCTGGGACCTTTGAGTAACTGGGGTGGGCAGCTGACTGGAGGTAAAAGGTGCCCAAGAAATTCTTCTTGGCCTTCTCTTTTTATCAGACCTTTTTGTAGGATTGATTTGTCTAGAGGTGTATTATTTATTTCCCATTATTTTAATCACAGTATTTCTAAAGATGGTTTTCATAATCCTAATAATTTGATTAATTTCTATAACAGCTATTTTAGTGACTTCAGAGATGTTAAAAAAAACTTCCTCTGAACAGAAATGGATTTTTTTTCCTCCTTTTTTCTTTAAATTGCTGAAGCATTCAAATGTTGCATTTGTTGATAGCAAGTCTCTGATTGGAGAGATGCTCCTGAGACTATAGAGAACAAAAAAGGAAATCCCACCCTGGGTTGTTTCTTGCTCTCTGCTATTGGTTGTAGTCTTCGTGCTGTATGTCCAAGTGACATATCGGAGTCTGTATCTGGAGTCAGAGTCATCTTGTGATTTGAACACTAGACTTGTATGCACACCCTGAGCATAAGTCCTTAGTTTGCCGTTGACTCATGATAGGGCTGTGCACGAGTCATTTGGTCAGTCTCAGTGCATGTGAAACAGGGATAATTTGTCTGAATTCTGATAGAGTTTTAAAAACCACATATTTAAATTTGTGAAGCATTTCAAAAGCATAAAATGTTCTCAAAATGCCAAGTAAAAGAGTCTGGTACACATGTAATTCAGACACATTCTTTATAACACAGTTGTAATAGTTGGGGGTTTTTTGTCCAGTGCTGTCAAACCAGTAATAGTGAATGATTCTTTCTTTGTCCCAGCGTTTCATGTGCAGAAACTGGAGTCTTGGAATTGAAGTTGTGCAGTGCATAGCAGAAAGAGGAAAAGAGCTCAAGCAATCAGACATACGTACTTTAACAGTTCAGTTAAAGTTCATTTCATGAAGTTGAACCCTTTGTTCATGGTAGAGAAGGAGCTGTCTTATTTCACTGATCTGTATAGGCAGAAGAAAGTGGGTGACTTATTTCTAGCTTATTAAAACCAAATCTAACTTGGAATGTGTGCACTGCCCCCTGTTTTTGTGAAGACTTAATAGTTAGTTCTTCCTTTCCAGTCTCATATGAATTGCCACACAGAATCTACTTTCTTGATTTTGTCATATATTTGTTCTAATACATTTGAAGAAGCAGCATCAAAGCATTTTAGCTCAAATACTGTAATATTTTGTCCTGGTGGCAAGCAGCACAGCAGTCTGCTGTGATGTTGAGAAGGGATGTTCTTAACTGTGGTGGATGAAGTACAGCACTACTTCAATTTATTTCACCTTCTTTTTCATGTAGCCTTGCAGGTGTCTCCAGGAGTGTAACACTGGTGGTTGCCTACATCATGACCATCACAGACTTTGGTTGGGAAGATGCACTGTCAGTTGTTCGTGCAGCGAGATCCTGTGCCAATCCTAACATGGGATTCCAGAGGCAGCTGCAGGACTTTGAAAAACATGATGTTGATCAGGTAAGTGAACTACAAACAAATGAGCTGCAAAACACAACCCCAAGTCAGATCATGGGCTACTTCTCATTATTTTGAGGCCTGGGTGGTTTATCTGACTCCCTGGTTTTGCTTTGAGGGAGTGGCTTCTTGGCTAAGCCTGCTCCACTGGGAAGGTGCACATAGAACTGGAGGTATCAAGGGATGCTGGATGGGAGAAGAGCTGAAGCACAACTCTAAACACATTGCTCAGCTGTGTGCTCAGTACAGTGATTGCTTCGTATGTGTGAAGACGCAAAACAAGACTGACACCTTCAGAGGAGTAAAAACTAAAGAGCGAATTGCTCAGAATGCATCAGTAAGACCAAGCTACAAGTACCAGTTGCATAAAAATAGTGGGTTTCCCCCAAGACATTTATTTGGAATAGTAAGCAGGAAAGAAAACATAATCAGAAGTCTTTGCTATCCAGGAGTTAAACTAGGTTCTCATTATGACTTAGGTGTTGTGTTCCCCCTCACCTTCCATGGCTGAGACTTAATAAAGTTTCTGTTGTGTAGAGCAGTCTCAGATCTGACTCTTTTTTTTTTGTTTCTTAGCCTTTGAAGGCTTTGTAGGACTAGGAGAATTGAGGAAACAGTAAGACTACAAAGTGGTTCTCATAAAACAAAAATTAGTTTCTTACCCCTAAAAAGAACCATCCCACGCAAAAGACTTGCTCCCCGTGGGTGATCAGTGACTTCCACTTATGTTAACAACCTATTCTGGCTGTCGCTTCTGTTTTCCATTGCTCAGCATGTTGCTGTTCTCTGGGCTTTTGTGCCTATTGTGCTTATTAAAAATCAACAATAACAACGGAGACAAACCAAAATCAGAAAGCAAAATACATGAGGTAAAGGATGTTGATGTTTTTCTTATTCCATCCCTGTCACTCTGCTGCAGAAAGCTTGGAGTTTAGAAACTACCATTTGTTTTGCATGATGCAGTTTGCAACTGTAAATATTTGCGTTTTTTTAATATTTAACTGAATGTTTCCTGGATCGTTTGGAACTGGTGTAAATGGTAGAGTAACCGATTTTTAAGAGACAAAAGTCAGAGGGGGACTTTCCAGACTTGTCTCCTTCCTCCCTTACAGTCATTTCTACTCTAATTGGTCTGGGCTAACAGCAGTGACAATTAAGGCTGTATGCAAATAGCCTGATAAAGACAGTAACGTCTCTCTTTTTTCATCCACCATGGACGGCACATTCTGCCTTTTTTCACTGAGGGGGAGGCAGTAGGTTGCAAAAAGAAATATCCACCTGTAGGCACTGGCTGGGCTGTAGTTTCCTACTGTCTCTTAACAGCAACCACATCCTTAGCAGGTGTCTGTTTACACACCTGATTTCAGTGGAATAATGCCATCTGCCAAGGGTGTGAACTTTTTTTCTGATTTCAGCAGCACGGGTGTTTTGCTGTGACAGTATAGGGTGGTGTACTGTGGTGTTTCTGGAATGGGGTCCCTTAGATCTTGGTCTTACAGGAAGGAGTTTAGTAGCTAAGGTCACAACATGGTTTGCACCAATTCCAAACTTCTACATGGTAACCTTCAGATTTAACTCAGGACCTTATGATCTTTTAGGAATGGGAGGGAGTAACTATGTTGAGGTTTTGTCTCCCAATGTCCTAGTAAATGGTCTTAGGGATAAAGCTGTCCATGAGCCCCAAACAGGACAAAGCTATGAAAGTTAAGGCTTGACAAATGATCACAGGAATTTTATCCACACTGGGACAGGACAGTTGTGGTCTGTGTCTACTTGCTGCTTATGCAGAGAAGAGCAACAAGATTGTCAGAAATGACTAAATGGACTCATATTCTTCAACTGACAAAGAAATGACACAGAAGGTTGTGATAAAGGTCTATAAAGTTGAGTGGAATAGAGAAAGTGAACAGGTGTGATTTCCACCCTTCCCTGTAATGTGAAAGGAGGCTATCAATTCAGAGTCTCAATTAAGGAAAAGGAAGGATTTTTTACATAATATGCACTTACAGAGCTTGTTGGCATCTAGATATCTTATGGTAAAGATCTGTGGATTCAGAAAGTGATCTTATGGCAGAAAAATTCATTTGTTGCTACCAAACACAAAGATACTGCCTCAGCCTCCAAAACTATCTGAGCTGCAAATTACTGGCAGCTGAGGAAATGAGCAGGGAAAAGGTCCCAGCACTATTGCACTGCCATTGCCTAATTCTTTCCTCAGATCTACATCTGACTACTCTCATACCAGGATACAGAGCTGTACTGACTGTCAACTGGACCTGGCACATCTGTTACCATGTACCATGTTCAGTCATTCATGTCAGTAACATAAAGGGTCCTATTCTGTATCTTTTAAAGCTCCTGGACTTTCTTCCTAGAAGATACATTTCCTGATATCTACAGTACATTTTTTACTGCTGGTGTTGGTGGGGGTCAGGGTAAAAGAACCCATATGAGTGGTGCACTTTGTGATCTTCAACCTCCTTGCAGATTGTTGTGACTTGGGCATGTTGGCTGATCATACCAGCTTCCACACTAACTCATCTTGTTTGTATATGCAACAGGAGGAGGGTGCTGTTCAGTCCAGGATGCCCTTGTCCAGTGGGTGTTCCCTACTGTGTATTACTCCAGCCAGCCAAGCTGTTACGCAGTTGGGTTGTTTTAGGGGATGTAAGAGATCTCAGTGATTTCAAATGTGTATTCCTGTGCCTATATATTCTGCACTGCTATTGAAGGACATGTAATATTTGGAGTGCTTTTCTTTAAACTGTTTGTGTTCCTAAAGGCTCTTGAAATTCTTCAGGGCAGGAGGGATTATTACTTCTGCATTAGTCTTATGTTGTTGTTTCATCATGTTGTATCTGTTTGTTCAATTTCTGCAGTTCAGGCAGTGGCTGAAAGAAGAATATGGGGAAAACTCTTCTCAGGATCTGCAAGAAGCCAAAAATCTTCTGAGCAAATATAAAGAGCAGGCAGAATTGCAGCAGAATACTGGGGGAAGACAGTGGAATAACAACTTCTCATCTGTGCCATCTCTCTCATACAGCAACTACACAACAGAGACCTAATCATAGGATGTTGATTTTTTTTTTCTTTTTACCTTTGAAAAACATCTTGCCATAATTTCCATCCCATCTTCAAGACTCTCAACAGTAATCATGCAAAAAGTTGATTTGTAGAAAGCTTCTTGATGAAAATACTACATTATGTGTGTGTGTATCAGTGTGTTTGAGACAGTTTTATAATTTGGGCAGGATCAAGCTCTCTGTATGCCCAGATACGTGATCCAGTTACTGTGGCTGTCCAGTTTGTCAGCCAGCCACAGCTGTTATCCCTGTATGCCCACATCGCCTGGCATTTGCTGTGAGGTTAGCTCAACTCCTTTCGTTGTAGGCTAGCAAAGGGCTATGAGAGATGAAGTCTGGTGATTCAGGCTGTGGCAGTTTGACATCTCTGCACTGTTAATGTGGCAAAGATGTTACTGCACCTGAAGAAGGGTACTCAAATCTGTGTGTCTGCTGCTTCTGTTCACAGTCCATCGGCAAGTAATATTGTGGAGGTGGGCCTGAACTTGAATGCTAGGCTGCAGATTCGATTGGGTAAGATATGGGTGCATGTACCTTTCTACTAACAGTAGCATCTAGGAGAGAAGTGGGACAGACAGCTCTGAGTAATAACATCTTCAACTGCCACAGTTGTACTTGCTTCAGTGCACGTGAGACAGAGCTGTCGGTAGAACTGCCGCAGACCAAGAGCACTGAGACTGTTACCACAGCTCAGCTGATGTGCAGTGATTTAAGCCGTGATCCCTTGATTGTGCATCTGGTCTCCCAACATAAGCTTCTCTGGAGAGTAGTTTATTAGGTCTCCAGTGCTGCTGAACTTCATTCCGCATGGAACACGTGCCTCTTCAACACACACCCCTGCGCACATGATAACACGTCTCCAAAGAGTGGGCTCGGTGTGAGTGCGAGCACCTGTTTCTTTGCTTGTGCTGTGGTTTGCTCTTTGACTTCAGCTACCTCAGAAATGCTGTTCTTGTCATTGTGGTTGTAAATGCAACCTTGAAAATTTGCCTTGTGTAATCTTAATCTGACACTGAGTGAAGTAAGTGGGTGTGTGTGCACGCGTGAGTGTGCGTGTGTATGTATATTTCACCAACGTCTGTGGTTGAAAAGTTTATTTTTTTCTTTTACAATTGCCCATATTTCTCACTGGTTTAAATTCAACTTCCTGACATTTTAAAACCACTTTATATTTTGTTGTGATCAGATTTGTAAGAATGCATTTGTAAAATATATTTTAAACTAGGTTAAAATTAGGGGCCATAAGCCACTCTTGGCAGCATTGTTTATTTCTGGAATGGAGCCATTGCCTGACTCAAGTCTATTTTGAGTGTAACTTCAAGTATGTCACCAGGGATGCTGGGCAGCGTATTGATTTCTGATGGTGTAATGGGTGGTGGCACCGATGCCAAGATCATGATTTCCTGTCTTTGACTCAGAGGATGGAAAGCCTATTTTTCTTGAAAATTCCAGAAAAGAATACCTTCCAAACAACCAGGATAGAAGAACAAAAACGACGCCCTAATTGTTTCAAATGTGGTGTATATCACGCTAAAAGCTGAGCACTGAGCGAGAAGCCGTCAGCATAGTAAACAGACTCCAGTACTCTGACCTCCCAGGTAGCAGTGAATTCTTTGGATGGGAGCAAGGCTTTTGGGGTCAAGTAAGCTCTGGCTGTTAAATATCTGTTGTTAAGTATCCTCAGAAAATAGACATTATGGCTTGTGAAGTATGGATCTTGCATATCAATAATTGCCAAAAAAGGGCATAGGGTGGAACTGGCCTGACCATTTCATTTGAGTCCAAGCCTGCATCAGGATCTCATTGTACCAAGTGCTTTAAGTGTACTGAACACAGTGAGAGCAGGGTAGTCACATCTGTGTTGCAGTAAGGGTTGCTGTTAGATTTGGAAAAGGTGCCAGAATTGACTTTATTTTCAAGCTTGTAGCTAAATGAACCACTACGTATATGGTATCTCCAGGAGCTGCTCTGTATTTGCCTGGTAAGAGAAGTTTTTAACTCTGCTTGAAGATGTTGATCTGCAAATAATTGGCTGTTTAGGAACTCCAGCACAGCCCATGTTGGCAGTTCCCTCTGTGCTCTGAGGGTGGACGTGGTAATAGGAAAACACTTTCCTCAGTAACAAGGGTCTGACACGTGTTCAGGATGCTGGTCCATTTGTTCAAGCTTCCACTCACGATAGGGTATGTAGTGCGACCTTGGCCTGTCCCCAGAGGGCAGCTTTGTCAGGAGCATTCTGCCTGTGCTCTTGAGGTTATCCAGTCAGTCCATCCCATAGCTGACTGCCAACACTGTGTACTCCATAGCATTATTGGCACTCTCATCCTTGCAGTAGTAACCCTGTGAGTGCTGATAAATTGGCAGTTCTCTTTTCTGTTCTGAAAAATGCAAGGCAGAATGGGAGTCATCTGTTAATGTTTGTGTCCAATATTATTCTGTACTATTCCAGTATTATTCTGTATTATTCCAGTGGTTTGGTTATCCCCAAAGAGTCAGTCCCACAAATAGGATTTTCTTTTTTTTTTTTTTTTTAAGAACTGAATTTGGCTTTAGGGCCATATAGCCACATCAGTGTGCATTATGCTGCAGCTTGAAAGCATATGCAAGTGAAAGCCAAGTGGTCAGCAAGTGGAAGTGCTTCTCTCTTTTAAAAAGACAGAAGAGGTGTTTTCTGTAGTCCTTTGCTTCTACGTCTTGTTTAGTGGTCTGCATGTACTGCATACTGCATTTTAGAGTGGTGGTGAAAGAGCAACAGCACTTTCAGAACACTTGAATCTGGTTGCCTGTGTGGGGAGCAGAATGATAGTTTACTTCTGTATTACCACAAGGTGCAAAAGAGAGAGTAGCTACAGTTCTCACCTTTGGCCTTTTAGAAAGAGAGAGGAGCTACCACAGACTGAGAACATGACATGATTTGTCTTCCAGCCAGTCTTTCAGTGGCAGTTTGTAGGGCTTTCCAGCTATTTGGAATGTGATTAGACCCCAGACCATCTCTTAGTAGTTGGCCTTTATAGTGTAGACGATGCATTCAGTTGTTTTGATTCTGTACTTCAAAATATTGTCCACATCTTGATGTTCGCTGGAAAATGTATAAAGTTTATAACACCTTATTGGATATCCAGATTTGAAATGTATAACCAATTTTGGGGGGCTAAACTTGATATCCATGTATGATTATAAGGAAATGTTTAGTATAATACAATGTAGGTAATGGGTAAGCAAATTAGTATTTACTATCCTGGTTTTTAACCTGGAAAGAGTTGCTTCCTTACTTTTTGTGACTGAGTGGGAAGATATGGCAAATCATATCTCTTGTTTTTTAAAAAGGGCAGTAATAACTTTGGTTGCTATAATGGCCACTGTCTATAAAGTCAGTGAAAAATTATAGTAATTACTTCAGCTAGTTTAAAAGCTCTAAGCCTGGCTCTTGATTCTCTGTCTTCCTCTTCTTGGGCACCTTAGCGAAGCCTTGATTGCGTTTTCCAAATGTTTGTATTTAATACGTTCTACAATTTTTTATAAATAAAAGTAAATGTTAACACCTGATCAGCTTGTGTATTTCTTGAACTCAACAGTAGCATCTAGAAGGCTTCTAGTTACTGTTTGAGTCTCTATGGTATGGTAAGAGAGCAAGATGAACTCATTTTTGTATTTAGATTTTCTCCTGCACAGACTTCTTGAGACTTCCCCTACCTTCACCAAGTTCTTCCAGGTGAGTTCAAGAATCTGCAGCACAAGCATCTCATGATAGTAGTCCCACAAGAGGATGTTGCATTTTGCTTTTTCTTACTGTTGCTGGCTCATCGTGACAGAGCATGTCGTGAATCCAAACTTTTTATTATTTTGAAGTACCTTCTTTTCCATAGCATGTTGCTTTAGGGCTTAATTACAGGGCAGTCTACAGACTGCTAAGACTCAAGGCTCTCAGTAGTGGTTTGTCAGAGGAAGCTGATGTAAGTGGCAGATGATGATTCTTGGGGGGGGGAAATAAATAGTTAAAAACTTACAGTGTAAGGGGGGGAAAAAGCCCCATTTAAATTCCCACAGATAACACACTGAATTTCAGTTTTTAACTACCTCTGCTAATAGGGTAATTCTGGCATTCAAACCCCAAACAAAAAACCCGCCAACCTGAAAGTATAATCGGTCATGCCTTAGTAGCCAGATCTCGTGGCCACTTTAGTCCTTGCTGAAGACTGACTTGTTTTTGCAGTGGAACTCCCCCATCATGAAGGCAGTGTTAGATGCTCAGGCCCAGTGGGTTTTGGTCTTTTTGCCCTTTCCTCCTTCTCTCAGCATTTCCTAATTTACAGACTGCTGGGAATGTGTGGATGTTCCCTAAGGAATCTCAGGGATTCAACTAAATTATATCCTTCACTAGAATAAAGTTAATGTGTCTGTAGATAGCTTTGAATGTGCTATAGATGCACCTTGTTCATAATATATTTCAGTCCTCTTCAGTGTAAATAGGATGGCTGTGATTTTATTAATATGTTTCAGTCCTCTTCCTACCTTTCTGTGAAATTACTAAATTCAATGCAGCATGCCATGTGAAGCTTGAATTAGTAGTTTATTTACCTCCTTTCTCCTATGTTATCCATAGTAAAGTCTTAGATGTATGTGCTATAGCATTGATAAGACAGAAAACATGTGAAATAATATTGCTTGTGAATTAGGAAGATCTGTTAGGTTTTAGAGGAGGTTTCCCTCTACCCTAAAGGAAAACAGCAATTTCCAAATGAGAAATGCACTGTGACTTGGTCTTCCTTTTGACTACTAAGTGTCTCTCAAGGGCAATTTTTATCCAAATCACATGTAAAAATTGTGCTGTAACCATGATGCCATACTACTATTCCCAACTTAATATCTCATTTCATTCAATGTTATTTGTGACTATCGTAAGTTCTAGAAAATGTCTCTTTGATTTTATTCATGTAGTTCTATCCCACCATGCAGTAAACTGAGGGAACTAGAGGGCAAACCTTAGATGTGCTCATAATCTGATACCTGTCCTGGCATTTCAGGACGTGGTTTAGTGGGCATGGTGGTGTTGGGTTGATGGTTGGACTTAAAGATCTTGGAGGTCTCTTCCAGCCTTAATGAATCTGTGATAAGGAGTTTGAGCTTTGCCAGCAAATAATGAGAGTCCTTCCACCTCTTCAAGAAGATTGTATTGGCAGAGGGAAAATGATGATCATCTCTAGAAAATATTAGACAGCATAAGGAAGATGATCTTGCACTGTACAGAGTTTCTGTAGAAACCCCTGGAGACACAAAACATGCGACAGAAACAGCTATTTTCACAATATGTTCTCAGCAGAGCTTTAATTGTGGCTCTCATTTTCTATGTGCCCCAGCTCCTATGTGTTAACTATTTCATTGCTACACTTAGCTGCTGTCCAGTAGTATTTAATTTCATTATATTAAAGTTCTTCTTTATACATGTTTGAATGTGTGCTTTGCTCTAGTGGATTATGCAAACTGCAGTTTACCAAAAGCAAGTAGCTTGTGAGTAGCAAGATGACTTTGTGTCATTTCCATGAAGTTTCTAGGGTAATTATTTGCAGTGGACATCCAACTGTGAGCAGGAGGTGCCTTTTTGCCATTGAACTACTGCATAGCTCAGTCCTTGTAGAGATTCTGCTTGTGTGAGCAGAAC